ATTAATGTACATAAATCTGAGATATATATAAATATGTACAGATTATATATATAAATATATATGGCACACATGTATATATGTGTGTGTGTACATACATATATATGTAGCATATTTATTTGTATGTATATACCTTGTGTGGGTATATATCTTTTCCTGTAAATTATTTTATATATTTATAATAATTTTTAAATCCTTATCTGCTAATTCTAAAACCTGGGTCATAAACAGACCTGCTTCTGTTTACTATGTTTTCTCTTCACTAGGGTTCACATTTTCCTACTTCTTGTTATGACTCAAAATATTATCCCTGTTAGGGATTCTCTCTCTCCCTCTCTCTGTGTCCTTCCCCTGCTTGTGCTCTTTTTCTTTCTCAAAATGAATAAATAAGCTTTAAAAATATTTATGGTGTTTTGAACATTATATACAAAAACTCAGTAGAGACTGAAGCATAGTATTTGTTTTGTTGTGTGTATTTCTCAAGTAGTCTAAGTAAGTCCTTGTCTCTGGCTGACAGTTAAGGTGAGGGTTTGAGCATTCACTTTCCCCTTAAGAGTTGAGTTGAGCAGGAGGGGAACTTCCAGTCTCTTGAACAACCATCATTCGAACTTCCAGTCTTCTGAATAACTATCATTCTGATATTTCAATATTTGAACTGGAGCAGCATTGACTGAAGTTTCAGATATTTTTGGTTCATGTTTCAATCTAGTACTGGTAAGACGTTGTACCTGTAATTTGGTAAATTCACTCATCTATTCTAGTGTGTTTTGTTTTGTTTTTATAGATTTCTCAGTGTTTTCTACATAACTAATAATGTTATCTGTGAATTAACAGTATTTTTTCTCTCTTTCAAAACTTTACCTCTTTTATTTATTTATTTTTGTCCTCTTATACTAGCTAATATTACCAGGCAAATGTGTTGAAATGGGAAAAACAGCTAGCTATCCCTGCCTTGATTCTGATCTTTAGGAGAAAAAATTCAATATTTTTTCATTAAATATGATAGATTTTTCAAGTGAGGAAAATACTTTTAGTTTGCTGAGAGTTTGTATCATGAATGGATGATGAATATTGTCAAATGCTTTTTTTGTACTTGAAATAATATTCTGTTACTATATTGAATTGCATTATTTGATTTCCAAATGTTTTTTTTAAGTTTATTCGTTAACATGAGAGAGAGAGAGGGGAGGGACAGAAAGAGAGGGAGAGAGAGAATTCCAAGCAGGCTCCACACTGCCAGCACAGAGCCCAGTGCAGGGCTTGACCTCACGAACTGGGAGATCATGAACTGAGCTGAAATCAAGAGTCAGATGCTTAACCCACCCAGGCACCCCAATTTTCAAATTTTAAATAAACTTTTCATTCTTGGCTAAAACCCACTTGGTTATGATATATTAATCATTTTATTGCTACATTTCACTTGATAATATTTTGTTAATTATTTTTATCTACGTTCATGAAAATTAGAGATCCGTATTTTTTTTCAAAATTGTTTTTGTCAAGTTTTAAATGCGGGTAATCCTTTTCTCATACAATTGAGTGAAATGTGTTCCCTCCTGTTTTTTTTTTTTTCAAGAATTTATAACAGACTGAACTGTTCCTTAAATATTTACTAGAATTCACTAAGAAAACTATATGGCCCTAGAGTTGTTTTTGTTGTTGTTTTGGGGGTTTGGGGGGGAAGGGGAAATGTTTAATTATGAATTCAATTTCTTTAACTGATAGAGGACTATTTGCGTTTTGTATTTTTTATTGGGTAAGGTTTATAGGTTGTGTCTTTTAAGAATTTCACTGATTTTATCTAAAGTGGTGAATGCTTTGACACAGTGTTCATAATATGTCTTCATTATCCTTTATAATATTTTAGTATCTCTAACAGTCATCTTCTGGATTTGTAAATTGTCTCCATTATACATAGATTTTCTAGTTTAATTATTTATGCTCTTTATTGTTTCCTTCCTTTTATTTACTTTGGGTTTAATTTGCTTTTCTTTCACTAATTTATTAGTGTAGAAACTTAGATCACAGATTTTAAACCCTTTTCCTTTTCTAATATAATCATATAAAGTTATAAATTTCTCATTAACTACTGCTTTATTTGCATTTCACAAGTGATTTGATGTTGCCTTTTTTGTTTTAAAGACTATTTTTTCTTCAGCTAAAGTTCCACAGCACAGTTGAGAGGATGGTACAGAGATTTCCCATATACCCTCTGCTCCAACTTGAATTCTCTTGACATTGGCTTTTGAAGAGAAGTTTTTAATTTTAATAAACCCAGCTTATCATTATTTTTTTTTCATGGATTCTGTCTTTGGTGGTGTTTTCAAAACTCAAAGTCATTCCCAAAGTCATCTAGTTTTCTCTTATGTTATCTTCTAGGAGTTTTATAGTTTTGCATTTTATATCTAGGTCTGTGATCAATTTTGAATTAATTTTTGTGAAGAGTATAGTGTAGGGTCTGTGTCTAGTGTGTGTGTGTGTGTGTGTGTGTGTGTGTGTGTGTGTGTCTAGTTTTTCCAGCTCCATTTATTAGAGAAACGGTCTTTACTCCACTGTATTGTCTTTGCTACTCTGTCAAAGATCAGTTGACTGCATGTGGGGTGATTTGATGTGTTTTCATTATTATTTTGTCCTGAGTATTTTCTACATTTGTTTCTACATTTATTTGTGATTTCTTCTTTGACTCATAGGTTACTTAGAAGTGTGGGGTTTAATTTTCAAATATTAATGGTTATTTCATGTATTTTACTATTATTTTCTAATTTAATTCATTGTGGCCAGATACTATTCTCTATAAGGTTTAATTTAACATATAATGATGCTTATTTTATTATACCTACCTTATAGTCCTTTCGATGGACATTCTATGTGCACTTGAAAATAATATGTATTTTTATAATTATTGGGTGTTAGTGTACTATATCAGTACAGTCAGTTATGGCATGTTGATGATAATGTCTACTTTTGCAGTTGGTTACTGTGGAGAGAAAGTTATTAAAGCTCCAGATATGATCATGGACTGATCAGTTTCTTCCTTTGACGCTGTTAGTTTTTGCTTTGTATGTTTTGAGGCTTGGCTAGTAGGTATGCACATCTAGGATTATTATATCCTGAAGGATTTATCATTTATTTCATTTTCTTAATTATCTCTTTGTATCTGCCAATACTGTTCATTTGGAGGGCCGTTTTGTGTGATATTATAGTAGCCCAAACATTTATCTAATGTTTGTTATTTACATGTTATATTGTTTTCTGTCCTTGACCCTGAACCTAGTTGTGCCTTATCACGGTTCAAGTTCCCAGGGAACAGACTCTAACATGGAGATTTATGTGCCAGGAGTTTATTGGGTTGTGCTTTCAGTAGTAATACATTTGAGGGGATGAAGGAAACATGATTAGACTGAGAGACTTTGAACTTCAGTGTAGTTGCAGCAAAGGTCTCAACTGATCTTATGGTGGCTCTAGACTTGAGTGACCTTCAGGGTGTGGGAAGTATCTTTATACCCCTCCATGACCAGTCAGTAGATGAGGGCTAAAGGAAAGAGTGTGATTTGGGGCAAAATGACTCTGGTTGAGATCAAATCTTGGAAAGGAATTTAGTTGAGAACAGTTGGTAACACTCCCAGCAGCTGTAGGAATGAATTCTTCTGAGCAGTACACCATAGTATCACAGTGTATCTGTATTTAAAGTACTTCTCCGGTAGATCCCTAATAGTTGTGCTGTGTCTGTTTATTCCAATCTGACAATCTTTGGCTCTTCATTGGAGCATTTAGTCCATTGATATTTAGTGTAATCATTGATATGGTTAGGCGTGAGTATGCTATCTTGCTGTGTGTTTTCTATTTTTCACATGTTATTTTTTCCTTTCTCTTTTCCTGGTCTTTGAGGTTAATCAAATTTTTAAATGTTTTATTTTAATTATTCCATTGACTTTTTGTTATACCTGTTAGTGTTTTTCTTATTAATATTTAATATTGGGATTAAATATTGGTGTATCCTAAACAGCCTATGCCAAATGAAAGAACCTTAAAAGAATATCATTTTGCCCCACTATCCTTTGTGCTATTGACACATATTTTACTCTTATACCATATTATAAATCGCATACTACAATGTTATAGGTGTTTTTTGTTTCAGTTGGTTGTCTTTCATGAATTAAAAGAAAAACAAAAGATAATCTTTGCATTTACCTATATATTTACATTTCAACCACTCTTCATTCCTCCCTGTAGATCTGAGTTTTTATCTGGTATCCTTACTTTCAGCTGAAGGTCTTCAGTATTTTGTGTAGGGTTGCATGTTGGTTATAAATTCTCTCAATTTGGGTTTATCTCTTGTGTTTCCCTTCTTTCATTGACGCATGTGTGGCTTCTTTTGGACCACTGTGAAATTCTGCTCTTGAGTTTCTGTTTCCAAAGAGGGTTAGCCTTTCAAGAGTCTCTGCTCAATTCCAACACATTCCCTGAAACAGAAGTTAAGTCAAGTCTTCTATTCCTGAACAGATACTAAAGTTGTAACAACTCTAACCCTCAGTCCTTAGGCTCAGTTTTAAGCTCTGGGTCCACAAGGTCAGCCAGAAGTTTCTGCTCTGGCTTTGAGTTTATACTTTATTTCACTGGTGCCTGGGGACATCAAATTTTAGGAGTCACATATTTTCAACATTTCTACATGTTTATAACAAAGATGATTAATGTAGGAGGGAGGATAATCCATATCAACTCAAACAGCTAAGATGACAGAATATGCTGTCTTCTGTACTTCATTATATACAAGAGTAAGATTACAAATAAACTAATTACGAGGCTCATTACCATGGAAGTTTTATTTATTTATTAATTGTTGATGGACTGTCATGTTCACCTGGTTAGCAAAGAAGTCTTAGCTATCGGTTTCAGTTCTTACTATGAGATTTCATGTGTGCTCGGTAGAATGATATATGTAGTTTATTAAGAAATTATTGTTAAGATTTCAGCTTTCTCTCTGTTGCTTCCTGCTTTCACAGGTCTATGGAAATGCAGGACCTAGCAAGTCCTCATCCTCTTGTCGGAAGTGGTGATACTCCTGGTAGCTCCAAACTGGAGAAGGCTAATCTCAGCAGCACATCGGTCACCACAAATGGGACAGGAGGTAAGTGTACCGCCCTGAAGAAACCCGGAATGACGTTTCAGTGTTCACTATTATTCCACATGTGAGGGATATGCTAATAAGTAACCTTATTAGCAATAACCTAGCCAAGGAATATATATGGCTAATAGGTTATTGATCATGCTGTTGATTTTATTGAAACTTTTACATCTCCTCAGTAGCTGGAAATTTTCGGAAAGAATAAATAGCCCTGAATAACATTTTAAGGGCTTTTAACAAAGCTTCCTTTTTGTATTTGCCCTTGTCGGTATTCAAAAAAAAATACAGAAAATGTGACCGAAAAGATTTACACTCTGATCTTGAGAGAGAGAGAAGAGAAGAGAAGAGAAGAGAAGAGAAGAGAAGAGAAGAGAAGAGAAGAGAAGAGAAATTATACTAGTTACACTAGTTTTTGGTTTAATTTCGAATTGTAGGGGAAAGGCTACCCCAATTCTTTCTTAAAAACCTTTTTCTTAAAAGTGGTTTGAGAATAGGAAAATATGCCTGCTGCATTTTCTTTTCAAAGAGAGTAATACCTAATGTATTTAAAATGAGGATAAAAATTTTTCATATATTTTCTCATTTGATTAACCTATAATTATGGCGAAGCATATGGTAACAATAATAGTCCTTTCAAATATTCTGTCCTACTGATTTTATAGAATGCATTTAGCCATCATAAAATTTGTTCTAATTTTTGTATCAGAATATACAGAGATGACACATATACACACATATTATGTGTAAGCTACTTCTTAAATTAGTCACCATCGTTTTTAAGTTTTATATATCTGTTTTAGTCAATAGGAGAAAAATTATGTGAAATTTGTTTTAAAATATAAACTAATCATATTATTAGATAACAACATTTGCCACATCATATTTTCTTTTAAATTTTCAATAAGTATTTGTGAAACTGGTACACCTCTTCCCATTTATTTTAAAATAGCTGTGCAAGCTAAAAATTTTTTGTGAAGTTGTGTGCATTGCAACTCGCCTGTATTTAATAATGTTTTACACCAAACCCTCTGTAGATTAACATTTTCCTTGTTGATAATGTTTATTTGTCTCTAAACATGCATCTATACTCTTAGCTTATTAATTGGAGGATTGCAAATTTGTAAGATTGTTCAGTGATGATTCCTGGTGCAAGAACATTTGTACTTAAACCTTAACTTGCGTACGTATAATAAGATTTTTTAAAAGTCTGGAATCAAACCTTGGGAATTCACTAATCGTCAGGTATATATATTTAACCGAACTAAAACAGACCTGATAAAACAAAATGTAAAAGTCATACAGCGCAGGTATAATTTGGGCTAAAAGGTCAGGAAACAGTGCAAGCTTTGAAGACTATTCATGTACGCAGGGCAGGCATTCAGACATTGAACCCTTACGCTGTTCCTGTTCTCAGGGGACAACATGACTGTTTTAAACACTGCAGACTGGTTGCTGAGTTGCAACACCCCCTCTTCTGCAACAAGTATGAGAGATGATGGTACACTGCATGTGTTTGGGTGTGTGGCGTTGCCCTTCTGGTGTGCTTTCTGTCGCTATTTCTGTCTGCACTTCCTTTTCTGTGTTCGGTACTTGTAAAGAAAAAGGAGAGATAAACGTGACTTTTTGTTGTTTATAGATAAGTTGACTATGTTTTTTTTCTTACCAGCTAGTATTCTAATAGTAGATTCCTTAGATCAGTAGCCTTCTTCTCTGACATTTTTTATAATGTACAAACAGATGCATCTGTTGTTTTTCTAACTACATATCGTTCAATTAAGTGGGTAATTCAGCACAGCACTCCTATCAATAAGAGCAGGTGAAGCATATTGTACATGTACACAACCTCAGTCATCGCCATAACCTACAGACTGTCTTTATTTAAATTCTGAATGTGGCAAAAAGATAGTTGCAATTTTATGGACTTCAATAAATATTCCTTTTAAAATACCTAAAGTAACATAAACATTTAAAATTCCACCATTTAGGGGCACCTGGGTGGCTCAGTCGGTTGAGGGTCCAACTTTGGCTCAGGTCATGATCTCACAGCTCGCGAGTTCGAGCCCTGCGTTGGGCTCCGTGCTGACGGCTCAGAGCCTGGAGCCTCCTTCTGCTTCTGGGTCTCCCTCTCTCTGTCTGCCCCTAACCCACTCACATTCTGTCTCTGTCTCTTTCAAAAATAAACATTAAAAAAATTTTTTTAATTCCATCATTTAAAGAATTATCAGTGATGAAAGCTGTACATTTAAAATTATAGGGGGCGCCTGGGTGGCGCAGTCGGTTAAGCGTCCGACTTCAGCCAGGTCACGATCTCGCGGTTCGTGAGTTCGAGCCCCGTGTCGGGCTCTGGGCTGTTGGCTCGGAGCCTGGAGCCTGCTTCCGATTCTGTGTCTCCCTCTCTCTCTGCCCCTCCCCCGTTCATGCTCTGCCTCTCTCTGTCCCAAAAATAAATAAACGTTGGGAAAAAAAATAAATAAAATAAAATTATAAATTAATATTAACTCTTACAATACATTGAACTATAGATATTTACTTCATATACATAAAATATATAAAAGTCTAAACAAACTCTCTCTAAATCAAAAGTTAATACACTAACAAAATTAAAAACTAAAAGCAAAACTATAACACTAACATGGAATCATCCAATATTAAGATTAAAAAGAAAACCTCCCTACCTGTTGGAAATGTGCATTACACGAAAGAAGTTAGGATAGGCAGTTTGGCTGGACCTTGCTGTGTCTCTGATTAAATCAAAATATATGACCAGTGAATGAAGAATACTCCGTTATGCCCATTACTTATATCTTTATAGTTCTGGCTTGAATTTTTTTTTCGATTCCACACTTAAAATATACTTTCTTAAAAATTTTTTAATGTTTACTTATTTTTGGGAGAGAGAGAGAGAGAGAGCGCGCGCGCGCGCGTGAGTGCGCATGAGTGGGGGAGGGGCAGAGAGAGAGGGAGACACAGAATCCAAAGCAGGCTCTAGGCTCTCAGCTGTCAGCACAGAGCCTGATGCGGGGCTCGAACTCACAGATGGTGAGATCGTGACCTGAGCCCAAGTTAGACGCTTACCCAGCTGAGCCACCCAGGTGCCCCAAAATATACTTTTTATACTTAAAAATATGTTGAAGAATTTAGTTTCTCTTAATTGTAACTCAGGGGTCTCTTTCTGTAAAGAGCCAGATAGCAAATATTTTAGCCTTTATAGGACATACTGTGTTTGTTCCAACTACTCAGCTCTGCCATCATAACTCAGAAAGCAGCCATGGGCAATGCATAAATAAATTAATGAGATTCATTAGGTTCCAATAAAACCTTATTTATGGGTCCCAGTATTTAAATTTCATAATTGTCAAATCATAAAATATTCTAGTTTTGATGTGTTTTTTTTTAAAACAGTGTGTTGAAAAACAATTTTTTTTAGCTCACGGCTGTTGCTCTGCTCTAAGATATTCATGTAACACGGACAGCTTTACCATAGTGAATGCGTACAATCAGTGTTTAGTGATTTAGATCTAGTCTCAACCAAAAACATTTTTCTAAGTGTTAAGCATCAGATTTTCCAAGTTCTTAGTGTTAACGTTAAGATTCATGTGGCCGTGTAAAAAAACGAGGACTTCCGCGCCAAGAGGAGGAGCAAGCACACTGACAAGCTGTGTCACCTTGAACAAGTTACTTAACCTCTCCAAGCTTCAATCTCTTTCTAAAAAGGAGGATGATAATATTTCCTTGGGAAAGCTTTTGTTTTTAATTAGATAGTATATACAAATTGTTTGCCAATAAACATGAGTCTATTTCCCTTTCTTTAATTAATAATTCAATTAGAACTAGGCAACAGTTTTTAAGGAAGTTGAAAACATGCATCGTGTTAAAAGACTCTCCAGTTGCTTTGTCACGTAATAAATTCTTCTGCGTTTAGGATGTGTAAACCGGCCAAAGAAGATAAACTTTTAGTAGTAAAATATTATGTGTACTTTGATTATTAATGATACAGTCCTAGGGGCAGATTGAGATGAAATTTATGAATTTATGGATTTTAATCACGTTGGAGTACTTATTGTATGGGTGTATGTTGGGTGTCTATAACACAGACAAGGATTTGGTGCATAATCTCTCCCATTGACAGTAATCTTGGAGTTTTTTGTTGGAATTGGATCACTATAAAATTGTAATGAAAGGAAAAAGCAAAAGCTAAGTTCGTGGCTTTTCAAAATCCTTCCATTAACTTTGAGATTTTCAAAAAGATTTTAATTGTATAGTTTTTACTCATACAAGTTCATAGTGTCACCTTAATATCCTACCATACTACATTGGTACTCTTTAAATGTATTACATTAGGGGTGCCCCTGTGGCTCAGTCGGTTGAGCCACCGACTTCGACTCAAGTCATGATCTCACAGCTTGTGAGTTCGAGCCCCACATTGGCCTCTGTGCCGACAGCGCGGAGCTTGATTCGGATTCTGTGTCTCCCTCTCTCTCTGCCCCTAACCCACTCGCATTCTGTCTCTGTCCCTCTCAACAATAAATAAACATTAAAAAAATTTAAATATATTACATTATTCTTGAAGTGATTTAAAATGCTTCAACACCGTAGTCTTAATTATATAATTACATCTGCAGACTGATACCGGAAACTAATTTTCCTTTCAAACTTCTGTTGCTTGTAAAATGGTTAAAATGTAGAACTGTCAGTAAAAGTGTAATAAATGCGCTCATACCCTAGCATACAGACCAGTGGTCAACACACTTTTTCTGTAAAAGGTCAGATAGTGAATATTTCAAGCTTTCAAGCTATTGTTGCACAAAAACAGCCATAGACAATGCGTCAGTGAAAGGCCTTGGCTGTATTCAAACACAACTTAATCTATGAATACTGAAATTTGAATTCAAAAAAATTTTCACAGATCACAAATATTCTTCTTTTGATATTCTTCAACTGTTAAAAAATGTAAAAGCCATTCTTAGTGCACAGACTACACAGAAACAGGCCATGGGGAAGATTTGGCATGTGGGATGCAGTTTGCCCACTCCTGATACAGGGCTATACGTATTCTCTATATACTTCGTTATATGCATATTTAGGCATGTAAATGCATGCCAGTCATATGAAAAGGGACTTCCAGGTATAGGTAAGATTTTAATTTGCTTAATGGTGTCAAGATTCGTGATTAGCTATACTTTACAAAAACACTTATGTCTGTTGGGATTGCTTAGGGTAGGATCAAAAAGTGGATTTTCACTTTCTCAATTAAAACGTATCAAGTTCCTGTTATATGCCAGGTTCTGTGCTAGGAAATGGGAACCCAGTGACCTATAGAATATGATATTGTCCAGCAAGGGACCAAAAGTGTAGCAGAAAGAAACAGACAAGAAAATAATGAGTGCATAATGTGTTCAAGATGGGTACATAACACAGGGAGGGAATATTTGATTATACATGGAGATTAAGAAGCTACTTTAAAGAGAAAGTTTGGGGGAACCAAAATTGGACATTCTGATCAGGTTTATAGCATTTTCTGTATTTGAAAACCTACATGTCGTAGGAAAGAATCTTCCAGAATTTTAAATATATAGGTGATTGACTCATGCAAGGGATTTGTTTCTGTATCTTCTGTGTTCGTGCAGTAGAGCCATCTACCATCGTGGCTCTACTCTTTTTAGATTTTCTTTTTTGGAATGATAGCCATAAATTGCTTTGTCAAATTGTTTGACAAAATTAAACACTTTCTGGATATTTAGGAATGAAAGGCGCTTGGAGCTCATAGATTTTAAGGTGAATATATTGATACAGACGAACATAAATCATAGGCTGTACTAATTATGAAAACCGGTAGGCGATACTGTGTGCTCCCCTGTAGTGTTATAAATTGTACCTTCCTGATCTCACTCTGCCTGAAATTCTTTTTAGAACCTGTGCTGTCAGAAGGAGCTGTGGGTGATTTTGTGGTTCAGAAAGGAGGATATTTTGAGTTAACGTATAGATGTCTTTTAAGCATACGCCAGTTTAAAGGCAGATTTTGGAAGTGAATATAAAATGTAAATTACTTGCGTTACTTTCTCTTTCAAGAATGAAGTCTGCTATTACAACTAATGAACACCAACTTTGAATTTTTACAATAAAGCAGACTTTCTCCACAAATAATTAATGTACGTTCATGTTGTACTTGAGTTCCAAAGATAATCTGAACAGGCAAGGTTAAATGTGCTTCAAAAATATGCATAGGAGGGTCTGGGTGAAGGTTGAGGCATGAAGAGAGGAAATCAGTGTAGCCATAGCTGAAAGCTGACAAGAATCACATACAATCTTGATTTAATCCATAGATATCAATTATCTTTGAAGGTAAAAAATAAAAGCCAATTATACCAATATATTAAAATCAATATATTAAAATTATTTTGACTTTTTTCTTTTTTTTCCCCAGTGTTTCCAATGCTCTCTGAAAAACATCCAAATTGTAAATGCATAAGTAGTAGCAGGGTGCTGACAATACAAATACTTCTTGAATAACAAGTTCTGTACAAAGGGCTATCTATAGTTTCTCATTGCATTGTAAGAGAAACCCTGAACTACTGGATTAATCCTGGATCCTAAATTACTTATTTTGAACATATAGAAGGGCAAAAACCACAATACTCTTAAGGGCAGTAAAATATGATCATTATTTTTGATATCAAAACATTTGTAAATTTCATTTTGTTGAAAAATATGTCTATCTCTCATAAAAGATTGTCCCAGGGACGCCTGGGTGGCTCAGTAGGTTAAGCGTCCAACTTCAGCTCAGGTCATGATCTCACTGTTGGTGGGTTCAAGCCCCGCATTGGGCGTTGAGCTGACAGCTCAGAGCCTGGAGCCTGCTTCGGATTCCGTGTCTCCCCCTCTCTCTCTCTGCCCCTCCCCCACTTGCACTCTGTCTCTGTCTCTTGAAAATAAATAAATGTTAAAAAAAAATTTTTTAAGTGTCCCTTCCACTTTATAGCATGTAATAATTGTGTACATTGTCCTGATAAGTTCAAAGCCCTATTGAACCTCTATGTTAATTTGAGAAAAATGAAATACAGTCAGAAAAAAATACAGTTGAACATGACACTGAATATACACTGATAATCATTTGGAATGAGGATTTTGTGTGTTTTAGAAAACAGTAAGATATTTCATTGATGGCTATCTTTCTAGTAATGCCTTACACATATGTAACTAAAAAAATTTTGCCTGCCACTACAAAAGTATATAGTATATCAATTTCCAGTGCAGAAACAAAAGCAAGACAAAAATGGAATACATTTCAAATATATTTGGACCTTTATTGAAAATGACCTGCAGTGTTCAAACTTTATCATTAAAGTAGTGTTTTCTTTAGACGAGTTACCTGTTTTATTATAAATATTAAGATACCCATTCATATCCTAACATCTTTCTAACCAACAAATCATATACAGAATATCCATTTCACTTCTCTTAAGTTTCCTGCCCCTGAAAAAGCAAATTATTGATCATTATTTGATGTTTTTTTTAAAAAAACAAACCAAGGGGCGCCTGGGTGGCGCAGTCAGTTAAAGCGTCCGACTTCAGCCAGGTCACGATCTCGCGGTCCGTGAGTTCGAGCCCCGCGTCGGGCTCTGGGCTGATGGCTCAGAGCCTGGAGCCTGTTTCCGATTCTGTGTCTCCCTCTCTCTCTGCCCCTCGCCCATTCATGCTCTGTCTCTCTCTGTCCCAAAAATAAATAAACGTTGAAAAAAAAAATTTTAAAAAAACAAACCAAAATAACTGCATTTTACTTGAAGCTCAAGAGATGTTTGTTGACACCCAGTTAACTTGAGAATACTTTATTTTCTGTGGTAGCGTAATTAAAGTTCCCTCTTTTCCCCTTTGTTCTTATCTGCATATGAAAAATAGATGAGCATTAATGTGCAGTTTTTCCCTAAATGTTAACACCCATTTGTTGAGTGATTGCTTTAAAACCCATGCATGTTAGTACACTGAACATACCTTGACATTTATGCTTTACTTCATGTACTTTCTACGGATGCCTTTTCTCAGTAAAATGAAACTTCTCTGTCTTTGACTAAATGCAGACCTTTAAAATTTTAATGAGAGCTGTTTCCACTATAATGAATGCAACCACAAACTCTTTGTCTCCCTTTTCTTCCTTCTCCTTTGACCATCTGAAACTTTCAAATTGAGGACATTATAATCACTATCAATACAAAGTTGGGATCCACAGTAACATAACTAATCCCTGTGTCTGGCTCCTGGACTACTTCCGTAGACCCAGCTCACGTTCTGCTCCTTTCTCCTCTATTCACAAATATGTAATACTATCTATTTTACAAGTATTATTTATAGATTTAGGAAATTAGCCAGTATTAGAATTTGGAAGTTTCGAGAGACTGTCTTCTTGTATGAGTTTTGAGGAAGGCTTCGGACTCTGCTTTTTTTGTCAGAAGTCACAAGTGGACATTGCATCGCAGAGAGAGCTTTACATCCATCTAGGTCACACTCTGGGTGGGTCATCATACAGATGAAAGGGATTCTCGATTAGTTAGTGCTTCCTGTCCGGCAGTAGGGTTTAGAATCTGGATTCCGAAACCATCGAACTCTAGCTCTTACTAGCTGTGTGACTATAGGAAAATTATTTAGCTACTGTGTACTTCAGTATCATTATCTGGAAGAAGTAAGATGGTCATATTATCTACCTCATATGATTGTCATGAGAAAGAAATGAGTTCATATCTGTAAGGCACAGCAACAGCACCCGGCATGGTTAAGTATCTTTGAAGTGTGTGCTGTTTTTATCTGCTTTCAAACTGGCTGCTCATTGTCTTTTATAAGATTTTGTGAGAAAGAAACGGAAACCATACTTTAGTAGCCTATTCCCATATTTTGCAGTTTTCATTTTTCATTTTTTTTTTTAAATTTTTAGAGTTTATTTACTTATTGGGAGAGGGAGAGGGAGGGAGCACGCACAAGCAGGGAAGGGGCGGGGAGAAGGAGAGACAGAATCCTAAGCAGGCTCCACAGCATCAGTGCGGAGCCCTGTGCGGGGCTCAGACTCACAAACTGTGAGATCATGACCTGAGCCAAGATCAAGAGTCAGATGCTTCACCGACTGAGCCACTGAGGTGTGCCTCACAGTTTTCATTTTTAGCATAGTGTTCTTTCTTTTTTTTTTTTTTTTTTAATGTTTATTTTTGAGAGAGAGAGAAAATGTGAGTGGGGGAGGGACAGAGAGAGAAGGAGACAGAGTATCTGTATGAAGCTGGCTCTGTGCTGACAGCCGACCGCCCGACAGGGGGCTCAATCTCACAAACCGCAAGATCTTGACCTGAGCCCAAGTCAGACGCTTCACAGGATAAGCCACACAGGCGCCCCAACGTAGTTTTCTTAAGTATGCCGTCTAGGGGATAACCCCGTTCTTATCACTCTCAGAGCCTTTGTAAAGAGACCCTGCTGGGAACAATTATGCCATTTTCATGCCTAAAGGAAGGCAGCTGGTTATGGTGGAGAGATTGTGGATGTAGAGCTAAAAAGACCTGAGTTCAGATCTTAGCTCCCTCCTCTCCTGCAGTAGAACATATGCAAGCTCTCGAGCCCGCCCTTCAGCAGCTTCCTGTGGTGGGAAATGGATAAAGTGGTTCACACTGGTGGGAGTTGTTTTAACGATTAGCTACGTGTAAATGGTCTAGCACATAGCAAGCTATCGATACGTGATTTTGCAGTAGTAAATAATTTTGTTGTGTTAAATATAATTAGTAGTCGAGTATAATGTACATGGACTGCTCCACAAATCACTACTGTAAAGTATTAACCACCAGTTCATTATTTATCATCCTACAAGTAACTAGACACTAATTCTTAGATTATCTTTGCTATTGAATAATAGGTCAACCTTACACTTCCTTTTTGCTGGGATAAGTAATCCAGATTTCTTTACTTCTTCATTCCGACCTTTGCAGTTCTCCTCTGAATCTTTCATCAGATCTTCATGATTTTATTAAATCATGGATGCTAAATTAACCTCAGGGCTCACTGAGGGAGGGTCCGGTCTATTCTGTCCGTGTGAAAAGAGAGCATAATCGTTACTGCATGTTTCTCCATCAGTTAATTGCTTTTCTAACAGAGTAACTTTGCTGACTGGCTTGGTTGATGGGGACGCTCTGACCCCACTATTCTTTTGGTCACGTTTGCTCTTGGTTGGCAAGTCTTCAGTTTTCTTCTTTATAGTTTTCTGCTTGCTTCTAACTTCTTTCACTTTATCATCCCATTTATGACCAGGAAGCATAAGAGGTGTTAAGTAGAAAATCATTTAGTTTATCCCCTTGCTGCTGTGATCTATGTAGCAGAGCGTTGCCCACGAAGGGAAAATATGGTGTGACAAAAACAGGTGGAGGCTTTTTCACGGCTCCCCTCCCCCACTCACTGCATCTAGTAGTGACCATTATAAATGCCAGCCTACATCATTCCCAAGTGAAGATTTTGGCCAAACACACCACTTCAAAGTAGAAATAACACATTAAAGGGTTTTCAGAAGATGTACTTGCTGCTGTAGAAATTATCTCTGTCTCTCTGCTTAGCTCTGTAATGCAATAAAAATTGTTATACCATTAAAATAAAAAGCCCAACATCTTAGGACTCTTTAGTATTTTTTAGAGCAGAAATTTATTGAGTGCCTCATTTTCCACCCGTCACCGGAACAGGTCCATGGTTTCTGTATTTGCATTTGCCTCCATTGTCCTCTCAGGCAGTCTTTTTTTTTTTTTTTTTCTTCTTTTTAATATCTCCTCGGGAAGAATAAAATATAAGCTAGTAAATCTCTTTGTTATGATTTGGATGAAATGTGCTGAAGACTGTGATTCCCTTTTTCTGTCTTGTGACTGTAATCCCAGCGTGTGCCTAGGTGAGTTACACATGCAAATAAGTGTACTGCCGGTTCCCTGTTCAAGGTTGACTGCCTTGAAAAACCGGATCTGAGAGAACTAGCTTAGGCAGAGGACTCTCATACTGAATCCTCTATAAATGCATGCCCACTTTCTAGAAGCTAAATTAACAAAACTCTCCTCATCGACTTCTCAAGTTTTCTCTTGCATGCCCATGGTAGCGTGAAAAACCACTAGTGGAACAGTCAGCGTCTTTGATAAAAATTTAGAATTCAAACTCACATGTACTTATTCTTCTACATAGTGTCTCTCCTTGCAGTCAAAACAGAGCCTTTGAACAGCAGTGAAGCGGCCACCACCTCTGGAGATGGAGCCCTTGACACTTTTACTGGGTCAGGTAAAGCCTTCAGCTCATGTGTTGCTACGTACACATCGGGGTACATACACATGGTCTTCCTAGCGAACACGCGGCATAAATACCAAAGCGGAGTTTTGAGAATGCGGACTGTTCCAAACTTAGCAAGAGGCTTACTTTCTTGAGAACTTACTGTCGCAACCCTGTATATTTTTTAAAAATTCTGTCTGGAATCGTGTTGCTGGATTTTCAGTGGCCAGCAAGACAACCCTCTGCCGTTCTTGTTAGAAATGGGCAGAGCTGGCTCCCTTTGTAATTATTTTATACAGTGTTTAATTTGATAATTAGGTTGTAATAGTTGCCTTTGTTCCCTTAACTTGTCCATTTAAATGGCATTAAAAACCCCCTTCTCTCCCAACATTCGAGATGTAAAACTATCCATTTGATTCCTTCTAAATAACCTTGTTTCCTCTCCGGGTTTAAAAAAATCCTCCTGTGTAAGCAGCTGAGTGACAAGTATTAAAGGTTAATGGGCTGCAGGAAGACACATGCTGGTTGCATTAGAACCCAGCCTGAGAGCACTACTTTGACTCAGTGCTTCAAAGAGAACAATAGCGTGTCTTTAAACGTCAATCCCTTTAAATATAAATACCTGATAACTCCCAGGTGGGCCCAAAGGACGCGCATTAAGTTGACTTCATTAAAGATTTTAAGTTCCGCTATTTTGTTTAATTTATGATCCGGTGAAAGGATTTTTCTTTTTTTTTAAACCTGAGGAGGAACTTGAATAGCACAAAGATGAACAGTAAACCTAGAAGAGTATCTGTGGTAATTACATCTTGATTCTGTTATTCGACTGTAAGATGTCTTATGTTTTATCCGTATTCTCACGTACAAAGGTTTTATGTGAAAAGAGTTGAGGTATATCCTTGAGTATAATATCATTGTAGCATGCATTTAATTTTTATAGATACAGATGATCCCAGTTCATTTGTTCACACACTGATCGGGGGCAGTTACCAGGTATTCATATAAATATTAGTACCCCAGACAGAGGTAATAATTCATAGAGTCTGCATAGAAACTCACATGTGCTAATCTGTATCCCTTCTAGCAATTCACTTGCCTCCCAGGAGATAGATAGGTACCAGCTTACTCTAGCATTCTTTATTGTTCACCTACCATATCCCTTGTAAACTTTTTGCAGAGCGAATGCTTCTGAACACATTTTTAGGGAAAGGAACGGAATCACTAATTGCTGACATCCTCAAATAGTATACCACCAGCTAATTGAAAGCTAAGTGACAAAATTGTACAATGGTAGCTCCAGAAAGAATTACGGAGGTCTCTGATCTGTTTTATAGGCGAGAATACAGAGACGCAGATAAGTTAAAGGTGGTTAAGGCCAGACGGTCCAGGCCTCCCAGCTGGTCACTGGTATAAATGAGTACAGAACAGTGTTCTGATCAGTCTGGCCATGACTTCTGGAAGACCTCATTGGAAAATACAGAACTGGAAAACAAAAGTGCTGTAAACAGTCATCCTGTCTAAAATTCAGTCACATTATCTTTACAAATAGTTTGCCAGTTTTCATTTAAGAATTATCCAGGGCTGTGCTGTCCAGTCGTCACTGGCCATATGTGGATATTTAAGTGTAAATTATTGAAAATTTGGCTTTAAAAGTAAAAATTGTGTCTCTCGTCACACCAGGCACATTACAAGCGTTTAATAGCTGCATGTGACCTTTTAGTGGCCACCACGTTGAACAGCTCAGATATAGAATATTTCCAGCACCACAGACCAGGTTCTTTTGGACAATGTTCCAGGTCAGGGATTCTCAACAGCAGTACTATTAAAAATTTGGCTAACTTTTTTTTTTTTTTTTTTTAGTGGACGATCTGTCATCTGCATTGTTAGATGTTCAACAACACCCCTATCATCTATCCCAGAATGGCAGTATGACAACCAAAAATGTCTCCAGACATTTTAAATGTCCCCCGGCAGGCAAAATTCCTGCCTACCCCCCTACCTCACTCCCCATCGGCCACTCCATTGAGAGTCACTGATCTAAGGTGTCACAGTAATTAGAGTAACACCTTAAAATTGTTTGCATCACCCTCTGAGAATCTGGTAATATTGTATAGAAATTTGTTGTAATTAATTCTCAGGACATTTTGAAAACAAGCAGGTTCCTTACTTTTATGTGCAGCGATGATGAAGTATAATGAGCCGAGGGCTTTGGGTAATGTCTCTTAATTAATTAAATGACAATGGGGAATAAAAGGAAAGTCTCCCAAATCTGTACACGGTATCTCCAGAAACCCTACTGGAGACGAGACTGCCCTGTGGAGAAACGGACTTTACTTTGGTCAGCATAATCTCACCCCACTTTAGCCACATTTTGTTGTTTCTTGTTATCTGCAGATCCATGAGTTAGAATACATATGTCAATTTTAGTTAAGAAGCACCAGCTCTCCAAGTTTTATGTGAACGTGTCAGTTTTCTGAGCCAACGGTTTTGCATTCTGTTTAGAAAGTGAATATAAAGACATTACTATGACATTTCAAAGGTTGAGTCTTGACACTGGCATGGGTACATTATTTTCATGATTGTCTAGATTCATTCATTCGAGGGAGGAAGCATCCTGTATATTCAGATTCATTCAGATATATGGGAGGTTTTGTTTTTTCCTGAAATAATTTTGCTCTTCAGCTCATTTTATAAAAGCTGCTGTGGTGAATGGTTCTTTTCATTATTTGATGTCCCTTCGGAAAAGCCTTGTGATTTACAATCTTGAGAAGAACTGATTACTGTAAAGTCTTGAGTGTGCCAAAGCACCGTGTTATAAATAAGACACAAAAACACATGGAGTTATGCCTCATTTAACTCTATTTTTGCCAAACAGAGCGTTCACTATTGTGAGCTAATTAATCACACTGGATTTTCTGTGGAATAACACTATTGCTATTGTGTAGTATACATGTAGTGCCTGTGGTGTGGTAAAACAACAACAACGACACAACAACAACAACAGCTAACTTGTTCTCATGAAATTGATTTCAAAGTTTTAAACATGAAGAGACATTAACACATCAACACATTAACATCCTACACAAGGCAGCCTAATGCTAATGCCTTTATGTTAATACATAAGTAGAAAATAGTTCATTGGTCCGTTTATTTTCAAATACGTATGGCTAGTTCACTTAAAGTTTGCTTGGTAGAACACAACACACCTCTAGTCATATTCAATGATTTTCCAAAATGATTCATAGTATCTTTGAAAACATACTTCCTGCACGATTGCTATGAAAACTATAATATACTTTCCATACTCAGAGCTTACAGGCCAAATAGCATTTTAAATATATTCAGTCCTACGTGTTTATGAAATGACAGATCACAAGGGTACTTAATAGCATTTGGATATGGAAATAGATCATGTTTCATAAAATAGTTAGCAACCTAAACCTATTTGTCACTTTTACAATTCGAAGAGTTTAGCTCCAGTATTATAATGAACAACTTAGAAGGGACATAGTACTTTGAAGTATAACCATGATTGATTAGACTAAACTAATTCCAGCACTGCCTTGTGTACTACTTTAATCTTTTTGAAAAGTGAATGAACAGCAGATGGCCTAATAAAGACACTCTGTGTGCTTGCCCAGTATGGATTGGCTCTGAGGGACCTGCCTGAACACTTTGGAGTCCATGTATTTGCAATACATCTGTCTTAGTCAAGGCAGATGGTTAAAGGAAAGAGAAACTTCCAAACTTCTGAATGTATTCCAGTTTGGGACGAAACGTTAATAGGACCCAACATTCACCTTGACGTTCTTCCCAAAAGCGTACTCTCTGTGATAGTTGAGAATATATTTGTAAATATGATGGCTGCCGTACCTTGCAAACGTGTTTCTTAAGAAGTGGCGCGTTATCACTCACGCTTTCTATCCATATTCCAACTACTACTTGAAAATCTCGGACTCGGCATTTCTCACTACTCCTGCGATTGGTACAAGGAGAGGAAATAGAAAATGATAGTGTTTTACAATTTCGAAATGCAGGTTGGGACTTCACGTTTTTCTTAAAATTTTAGTAGAACAAATGTGGAGGAAGAACAGTACGTTGCTGTCGTATATTTGGAATTTAAAACATAAAGTTTGTAAACGTTAAAAATGGACTTTTACATCGTGAGAACTTGAGTACCTGTAATCAAAGATAATTATTCATACGTATTCATACAAAAGAGGATGCTACTGATGTGAGAGAGCAGAAGAGTGACAGAGAGAAAGGGTTTGTGACAAGAATTAATTTCATTCTCTTACAACAAACTTGAAACCGTTCAATTAGAATAAGATGTTTAGGCATCTGTCTCTGTTTAGAAAATGAAATTTTTCCGTTTAGAAAGTGTGTGAATTTTAAGAAACATCGCTTTAGCACAGTAATGTCTTCAAATTGGTTTTTTCATCCTAGTGAAACGTATTTATGAAGCAACTTTTTTTGCACTGGTTTTTGTGTCTTACAGTAATAACTAGTAGTGGCTACAGCCCCAGATCAGCGCATCAATACTCCCCACAGCTATATCCTTCCAAGTAAGTGGTCAATAGATTCTTTCAGATTTGCTAGAAGAATTTTCCAGGGTTAACTTTATTCATCTATATTCACACAACATAAGTTGAAATTGGGATCCATTTATGTCCATCTACATAAATGTGTTATAGATAGCTGAATAGATAGAAATTTGGATAGACTAGTTGGCTGGATTAGACCTATAGATAAATATCCGATACAAATCTAGAAATAGAGATCTACTCATGTTCTTCCGGACAATTTTCCTTAATTCTGGTTATTTATATACCATGAGGAAAGGCATCAAGCTCAAACTAGAAAACACTGATTTCTTTTTTTTTTTTTTTTTTTAATTTTTTTTTTTAACGTTTATTTATTTTTGGGACAGATAGAGACAGAGCATGAACGGGGGAGGGGCAGAGAGAGAGGGAGACACAGAATCGGAAACAGGCTCCAGGCTCTGAGCCGTCAGCCCAGAGCCTGACGCGGGGCTCGAACTCCCGGACCGCGAGATCGTGACCTGGCTGAAGTCGGACGCTTAACCGACTGCGCCACCCAGGCGCCCCTAGAAAACACTGATTTCTTAATGAACATGCAAAAAATGCTGAGTAGCTTCAGGAAACTCTAACAAGATTACATTTTATTCAGACATTAGCACTCCATAATTTGTTCGATCATTACATCGTTTTCACGGGATTTCAAGTTCTAAAGACCGTATTTTTGAATAACGTGCTCTATTGTTTTTATAACAAAAGTAGTCAGCTTATTGAAGACAACGGTAGACACGTCACGTTGAGCAATGTTAAATGTATATCTGAACTCCGTTATAATCAGCCAGATATGTGAAGAGATTGGATCCATGACTCCCACACATTGAAATGTTATTTTCTGTAGCAGCTACAGAAAATAACCTTAAACAGAGGCTGGTGTTTGGCTATCCATTTGGGAGCATTCTGTAAAATTGGCATGATAAAGGGAATGGCATTCCATTTCTTTTCAGGAAGCAGCTGTCTCCCTTTTTCCTTTCTTTCCTTCTTCATTTTTTTTTTTTTTTTTTTTTTTTTTTTAAGATTTTTCAGTTCTGGGTAGAGAGTTCTTGGTAGGGCTTTTGAAGACTCTTGTATCCACTGCATAACATTAGTTCACTCCTACTGAGTAGAAGTATACTCAGGAGCATATTCACTGGCCTGTACTCCACTTCCCTTGTGTGCACGTTCACTGGAGTACGATTTCAGATATAAATAAGAATTACAGACCCGGAAGACACTTCAGATATAATATCTGCTCCCAATTTCTCATTTCGTAGGTGAGGTGCAGGTCTTTAGGGAGTTGAAACTATTTGTCCACAGTCATTAGACTGATTTGTCGCAGAGCCTGGGCTCCTGGCATTCAGACTCTTTCTTGTCCTTTCCTTGTTGTTACAATTGTATTGCGGATAAAGAAGGGCATTACCTCCTGGCTATTGTAAGGTTTCACTGAATCTAAGCTGTCTGAATTAATGTGCAGTCTTTGTTGCCACAGTAATGCTATTTTTCTGATATTTAGGCCCTATCCACACATTCTTTCTACACCAGCAGCTCAAACAATGACTGCCTATGCAGGCCAGACTCAGTATTCGGGGATGCAGCAGCCAGCCGTCTACACAGCCTACTCACAGACAGGACAGCCCTACAGCCTGCCCACTTACGGTATTTCACATCTCTTCTCTTTTCCTTTGGTTATGAGTGGGCAATCCTGCTGGCCAGTGGTTATATATTCTGATGTAAGCTACAACTCAGAAGTAGGGTCATCTGACTAATGAAATGCTTTGCACATGCATTTCCCAAACAGATCTGGGCGTGATGTTGCCAGGGATCAAGACAGAGAGTGGACTTTCACAGACCCAGTCCCCGTTACAGAGTGGGTGCCTCAGTTACAGTCCGGGGTTTTCTACCCCCCAGCCAGGCCAGACGCCTTATTCTTACCAGATGCCAGGTGAGTAGCCACACAGGAAACATGTTATATGAGGATGAATTCCTTGACCGAGACTCCTTGACTTCAGACTAAGAAGATGCATCCAGGAAAATGGTGGTTTTTTTTTTTCCTTTTTTTGGGGGGGGGGGCGTTTATTTATTTTTGAGACAGAGAGAGACAGAGCATGAATGGGGGAGGGTCAGAGAGAGAGAGAGAGGGAGACACAGAATCTGAAACAGGCTCCAGGCTCTGAGCAGTCAGCACAGAGCCCGACGCGGGGCTTGAACTTACAAACTGCGAGCTCATGACCTGAGCCGAAGTCGGACGCTTAACCGACTGAGCCACCCAGGCGCCCCCATGAAAATGGTTTTAATTGGCACTGCTGTTCACATCAGGAAAGACAAATACAAAGGAAAAAACGCAATGACAGTAATTGAATATACATCAAGCAACGTGCCCCATGCCAAATTTAAATACTTAATTTAAGTTGCATAAAACTAGGCCCAAGCAGAGTAGCCTCCAACTCATGCCAGTCACACATTTGGCATCTACTTAAGTGAGATTCACAGATTCATGACAGTACTCTTTACGTACATAATGCTGTCCGATTATCTTTAAAATTGGGTTAGCGCTTTCCTAAGTCCTATGTACCATTGAATGATTGCGGATTTTATTCCTTCCTACATACCTTTTGATTAACACTATATTTTTAATAGGAATATTTATATAATTTGCACCTCCCCCCGAAAACAATCCTCCGTAGACAAGTATTTAATTTTGCCTCTATGTTTGATCAGTACATAGTAGGTGCAGAAAGAATTTTAGTGGCATAGGAAGACATTAAAAGCTTGTTTCCATCATTTTGTCCATAGTGTTAGTGATACAGTTGGGGCTACAAGAACATATTGTAATCAACTACTATTGAAATTTCAGTTCATCGGCTACAATGAAATTAATTACTTAGACCTTTCTAGCTAAAGTGGCAGATCTCTTTTTACCTAGAATGTAGGTAGAAATATAGTTACACACAGTCAAAAGCCACAGTGAGCCACTCAGCTTCAGTTAGCAGTATTAAAGTGACCATGAATACATTCTCGTTTACCCCCTAAAATGCTTTCATATTAGTTATTCTGGGCCAGGTCAGTTTGTGGTAATTACATAATACTATAATTACGATGATAAAACAAATAATCAGGGGCGCCTTGATGGCTCAGTCATTTAAGGGTTCAACTCGATTTTGGCTCAGGTCATGATCTTTTTTTTTTTTAGTTATTTTTTTTAATGTTCATTTATTTTTGAGACAAGACAGAGACAGAGCATGAACGGGGGAGGGGCAGAGAGAGAGAGGGAGACACAGAATCAGAAGCAGGCTCCAGGCTCTGAGCCATCAGCCCAGAGCCCGACGCAGGGCTCGAACTCACGGACCACGAGATCGTGACCTGAGCTGAAGTCGGACGCTTAACCGACTGAGCCACCCAGGTGCCCCTCAGGTCATGATCTTAACGGTTCGTGACATTGAGCCCCGCATTGGGCTCTGTCAGTGCAGAGCCTGCTTGGGATTTATTCTTCCTCTCTCTCTCTCTCTCTCTCTCTCTCTCTCTCTCCCTCCCTCCCTCTCAAAATAAATAAATAGATATTAAAAAATAATTAAGAAAACAATCAGCTGTGTCAGTAGTCTTTAATTTTACTTCTTCACAGGTACATTCCATAGAACATGTATTTTTTTTAATGTTTATTTCTGAGAGACAGACATGCAAGAGCAGGTCAGGGCAGAGAAAGAGGGAGGCAGAGGATCCGAAGGGGGTTTTGCTCTGATAGCACAGAGCCCTACGTGGGGCTCAAACTCAAAAACCGTGAGATCATGACCCAAGCTGAAGTCAGAGGCTTAACCGACTGAGCCACCCAGGCACCCTTCCATAGAACATATTTTTTAAAAAATAATCTTTAAATTGATATTACACTTGCTTTTCCCTAATTTAAAAAAAAATAATTAAGCTTCTGACCTTGTAGTAAACTTTTAATTAAAAAAAAAATTTAATGTTTATTTATTTTTGAGACAGAGAGAGACAGAACGTGAGCAGGGGAGGAACAGAGAGGGAGAGAGGGAGACACAGAATCCCAAGCAGGCTCCAGGCTCTGAGCTGTCAGCACAGAGCCCGATATGGGGCTTGAACTCATGAACCATGAGATCATGACCTGAGCCGAACTCGAATGCTGAGCCAACTGAGCCACCCAGGCACCCCTGGTAGTAAAATTTTAGGGGGCTTCCGAACCTTAGGTGATTGCAGCATGAGCAGCTCTCCCTTGAGTCTAAGCCCTAGTTCACATCTTTCTTGGTTCTAAGGAAAGGACATAGGAAGAAAGAAAAGACAGGTTGCTTTAAGCATTAATTCTCAGTGGGTTCTGTGTTTATTTCCTAAGCTAACCCTATCCAGATGTTTAACTCGAATGGTTTTTTGTGCGTATGCAGTTGGTATGACCATTTGAAAGTTCCAGTAGTTTCCTAGAACTACTCTGTGTAATATTTTATTCTTTGAGAACCTCTGCTCTTCTAGATATTTAACCTTTAAATGTCTTTAGCTGCTGTCCTTAAGACTGTTCCCACATGCTCCTGTTCAGTCCAGCAGACATCTGTACCAAAGACTTTAACTGTTGTCACAAGAGGGATAGAACTAAGCACATTTTTCCTTATAAATCTTTCAACTTCAAATTGCACATTTCGTTGCCTTAACAAAACTTAAAATAGATTTCTCTCATTGGATTCTGCAAAGTGAAAGGTTTTTATTATTTTGCGAAGAAATACTTTTTAAATGCAATTTGTTCTTTCTTTCTAGGTTCTAGTTTTGCCCCATCATCGACTATTTATGCAAATAACTCAGTTTCCAATTCAACGAACTTTAGTGGTTCACAACAGGTATCGTAGCTTTTCTGTATTTCGACTTTTTATATCTTTCAGATTTCCAAAGAATAGTTGTAGGTTGTCATATAAGTGCGTGTTCTCCTAGAAAAAGGTTTCTGTGTTTAAAGTAAAGATGGCATTTCAAGTAGTAAAAATTAGATATCTAGAATTCTTGGGGTCTGTATTAATCTGGGTATTTTAGGTTTTCTGGTTGCTAAAAGTTTGCCCTTTAAACCTTTAAACAGTGATTTTTTTTTTAACCATTTGGCATAGAATTGCAAAATTTATTGCATATTTTCCTATTATCTTAAGCTGTACCAAACATAATTTTATTTTCTCAAGTTATTGTGAATATTAATGAAGAGGTTGAATTACAACCAGTAATTAAGTTGTGGCATTTTTAATCCAAAATCTTTGTTATTGAACAAAATGCCTCTTGGATTTTTTTTTCTTTTAGTTCTGATTCATTTTAATAAATGTTTGATTCCTACTTTCCTGACAGCTGTCATTGTTTTGTTTTGTCACTGTGCTTGCCTCTAGCAGACCTTAGTCCCCCTCCTAGTTAGTTATTTATTTATTTATTTATTTATTTATTTATTTATTTATTTTAGTATTTTGTGAATTTTGAAATCTAGTTTGTTAGAATTATGTGTGGAAGAAGAATGAATGTTTCTGAGGAGTGACTGTAATGACACTTGAGAATCTTGTGTCTTTATTCCTTTGTTCTCAGTCATGCTCAGAGTAGTTGAGATACAAGGGTAGTTGATTTCCTTGGTAGGCAATACACTATTTTACTCTAAAGTAATTGTTGGGCTTTTTATGTATTCTAAAATCTAATTTATTGCACAGATGGGCTCTTTGGATTTACTGAAGGAATTATATTAATTGCCTTCTTTTAATTTTTATTAACGTAACAAAAGGCAAAACAGAAATCATGATTATTAAACAGTGTGGAAAAATAGTATTTTTGATAGAATTAAACTGTTTAATTTGGCATTAGTTAGGAAAATGGTTTCTTAAAACATGAAACATCAAAGCCAGCATGCCTATTTTATGTTTAAAAATATTCAGAATCCAGGTAGCTCATTTTACTTATTTATTGATATAGCAAACGTTTATTGAGCACTTACTATACTTTAGACTTTAAAAAATTTTTTTTTAACATTTATATACTTTAGACTTTTGACTAGGCATTGAAGCTTCAAAAGTAATGTCCTTGTTCTCTGCTGTCTGGAGGGAAGCAATTCTAAAGAAACAGATATGAAAATAATATGAACAGAGAGGGTAGGATATAACGAATATACTAATAGAAATATATGCATGAAAGAAAGACTTCTCTGTTCTGCTTGGGAGGATTTAAAAAAGATCCATAAAGGAGAAGACAGATTCATGTTATAAAATAGATCCAGTTCTGTCTGAAAAAATTTAAATCCAGTGGCTCCAATATAACATAACCTGTATTTTGGACCATGGTTGGAATACCAGTCTATTATTTTAGTTAATACTTACTGAGTAGTTATTAGGTATTAGGAACTGGTCTATATGCTGGGGACATGTAAGAGGGGACAGGAGTGGATAGGACCTGATTCATGCCTCCTGGAGCTTCTTAATTACTGAGAGAAGCAAACAATAAACCAATAAACACATAATATAGAATTGAAAAGCGCGAGGAGACAGAACAGGGTCCTATTAAAAAATATTAATAGGAATCTAATATTGAGTAGGGAGGATTTTGCGGAAGACGTACCTGTAGAAGCAACATTCAGGCCAGTGCTTCTAAGAATTTGGTGGAGGGCCAGGATGTTTGGGCATGGGAGGTGGTAGGTACCAAACTCCTGAGAGGTGAAATCCTTAGTGTGCTAGAGAATTCAAAGAAGGGTAGGGTTTAGTCTGTGCATGAGGGCAGATGGGGAAACTTACTTGTGAAGATAGGCAGGGCCCTCCCTGTATGTGTAGGGCTCTGTAGTTTACAGTAAGGGATTTCAATTTTATTCCAAGCCCAACGGGAAGCTATTAAAGGATTTTGAGCAGGAGAATAGCATCATAAAGTTTATGTTTTGAAAAGAGTACTCTGGCTTCCAGCACTTTGGAGAAAGCCAAACCTAAAAATGAGACAAATTAGAAAAACAGTCCGTTGGTTCCAACAGGAAGTGACGGTCACTTGGACTAGGGTGACAGTAGAGGAAATGAAGAGATGGGAAGATCTTTGAAATACATTTGAGTATGAAAAGACATTTTAGGCACAAGAAGCTAGTAGCCTGGACCTTTCCTGTCATTTCATCTGCCCGTATGGGCATTTCGCAGCCTTAGAGGGAGCTTCAGCACGCAGATGGTGGCCTCAGCCTCTCTGGGTTCCATTTCCAGTTCTGAAACTTGCTAGCTGTCTGACTTTGAGCAGGTCACATAACCACTCTGTGCCTTCGTCCCCTTCGGTGTAAAATGGGGTAAAAATGCCACATAGGTGGTTGTGAGGAATAAATGAGTAAATCGACTTAGAGTCTTAGAACAGTGCCTGACACAAAGTAAGTACTAGCTACACGTTTTACTCTGAGAAATTATGTTGTCGAAGTATTGCTGAGAGGTTTGTTTCCCTTGGTTTACAGGTGGCAGTGAGGGAACATCAGGTCCCGAAATGAACAGTCAAATAGATTTTTAGTGTTTTACCATATTAGAGTTGGACCAGACAACATGGTTGATGGGGGATTTGGGGCACCAACCCCTGACACAGTCAAAACTCCACATATAACTTTGGACTCCTCCAAAACTTAACTAAAATTTAGCCCACTGTTGACAAGAAGTCTTGCTGATAACATAAACAGTCGATTAACACATACTTTATATGTTATATGTATTATATATTGTATTCTTACAATAAATAAGCTAGGAAAAAAGAAAATGTTATTTAGAAAATCAGAAGGAAGAAAAAATACATTTGTAGTACTGTATTTTATTTATCGGAAAAAAAAATCCGTGTGTAAGTGGACACGCACAATTGAAACTCTTGTTGTTCTAGGGTCAACTATACTTAATCCTTTTTGATAATACACATATTTGCTTATACACATATTTACTTTATATAAAGAATTTCTTCTTTGCGGGGGGGAAACCACATCAAATGTGGACTTTGTTTCCTTAGGAACGTGTACCACGAAATCTTAATCCTGACCAAGGATTTGTCATCACTGATAACAATTTGGGCTAAAACATGCCAGATACATTAAACACCAATAGTGCAACAAATTTTTATGTGTTACCTTAATATGTAAAAAGGATTTTGAAGGATTATTTAGATCACTTTAAAGTTCTTAGGATTTTTAAATAAAAAGCAGGTCAGAGGAGTTGATCCAATTCTTTTTTCCCTGTAACAAACAAAGCGAACTAAATATTTGAAAACCTCACTTCAGACTTTTAAGTCAAGACCTTAGATGCCATAGCCTTTAAAGGGCTGGGTAAAAAACGCTAGTATCCATTTGCTTTTATTTACTCTTTATTTCATGCATAATGATCAAGAGTAACCTAGAAGGGTAATAGAAATCACAGTAATACAGACTGAGGTCCCTATGGAAGCTGAGAAGGGCAGTCATATTGTCTCCTTACTGGTGATATTAAAAGATATGCTGTGAGTATGAATTCATTCCATTTCCTTCTCTCCTCTTCCAGTACATAAGACCTTATGATGTACATCCTTGGATAAGTACTTACAGATAAGTGAAGCAATATGCAACCTTTAGGAAGATGGAGAATTATGTGCGGGACCTGGTTCGCAAAACCAGCAGGGTCATTCACAACTCTGTGCACTCGCTAGAATCCCCTCGAAACCGTGGACTCTGAAACAAACGGAGCCAAACGCTAATCTTTCAGTTGCCATAGTGATTGCTTTGCTTTCGAGCATGCCAGGAGTAATTTCTCTTTCGAGTGCACACATGTCTCAATTGTTATTTCAGGATTATCCATCCTACACAGCCTTTGGCCAAAACCAGTATGCACAGTATTACTCAGCATCAACATATGGAGCATATATGACATCAAATAACACAGCTGATGGCACATCATCTTCGACCTCAACCTATCAGTTGCAGGAATCTCTTCCGGGACTGACTAGCCAACCAGGTACAGATCTTCATCCAGGTGAAATACTTTTATGTTTTGCTGTGTCTAATAATACGGAGAAAAAGAACATTTTTCAAAAGCAAGGCTGAAAGTTCTGATATAGTTATACTGATGTTTAATCTGTGCCAGTACAACTATATAAGATGAGGCTTCTGGCATTTCAGAAAACGCTTCTTTTAGATGTGGATGGCTAAGAGATTTTAATTTCAAATGACTTTGTGTGTGTGTGTGTGTGTGTGTGTGTGTGTGTGTGTGTGTGTGTGTTGATATGGATACAAAAAGGCCAGTGAACCTTTTGCCTGATATTCTTTCTTTTGTAAAGATCTTGACAACTTGGAAAAGCTGTAATATTATCTTCTTGGGGTATAACTGATCATATTTCCCTTAAGCTTGAGAGACTGTGTCACTCCTTCATCTCGGTGAGTCATCAGTAGCTCTAGCCAGTGAACATTTCCTACATTCCTAGGATTTGTAGGATATTAGTAGGTAGTTTAATATCTTTGTCTGATTAGCACTTACTTAAAATCCACTGTATTCTCCGTTGTCTGAAGCTGATCTGCAGTGCTACCGGACTTGAATTTGCTGATGCAGCTCAAGTATTTAAGGTTAAAAGCAAATTTAATAAAGATTCATTGTAATCCTATCCAGAATTCCAGCATGACTTTTTGGAGAAATCATCAAGATGATTCTAAAATTACAAGGAAAGGCAAAGGAACTAGAGTAGCTGAAATCATTTTGAAAAGTAGGAACAAAGTTTGGGGATTGACATTCCCTGATTTCAAGACTCATTAGAAAGTACAGTTATCAGAAATGTGTGGTAGTGACAAAAGGATAGATACACAGAACAATGGAATAGAATAGAGATTGTAGAAATGGACCCATATACATACACTAGAAAATGGATTTTTGACGAAAGTGCAAAAGGCATTTGGAAAATAAAGGATTTTGTTTATTTTTCAAAAACTGGTGCTGGAACAATTGGACATCCATATGCAAAAATAGCAACAACAATAACAGCAAGGACAAAAAGCAAACCCCAAAACAGAATCATGACTCGTAACTCATGCCACATACATACAATACATATAAAAACTAAAACTGTAGGGGTGCCTGGGTGGCGCACGGGTTGAAGCGTCTGACTCTTGATTTGGGCTCAGGTCATGATCTCATGGTTCATGAGATGGAGCCCTGCTGATGGTGTGGAGCCTGCTTAGGATTCTTTCTTTCCCTCTGTCTCTCTCCCCTGCTCACACACTGTCTTTCAAAGTAAACAAACATTAAAAAAAAAAACCACCTAAAACTATAAACCTTCTATAAAATAACATGGAGGAAATTTTTGTGGCTTTGGGTTACATAAAGATTTTATAGGTACATTAAAAACACAATCTCTAAAAGAAAAGAAACTAGCCTTCATAAAATCAAGAACTTCTTCTCTTTGAAAGACACTGTCCAAGAATAAAAAGACAAGCCACAGATTTGGAGAAAGTACTTGGAAAACACATCTGCTAAAGGACTTATATCCAGAATATATAAAGAACTATCAAGATTCAATAAGGAAAATGAAGTTAAGAACTTTTATAAACACCATTAGTATGTCCAAGCTTTTTTTTTTTTTTTTTCTGACTTCAGTTATTTGCAGGATTCAGGCTCATCTCTATTTATTTTTCATCCAGTGTTGGAAGGGAAAGAAAATAGGGAAACATGGGCACAACACTATAAATTCTTTCTAATTGGACCAGTGATTCCAAGAAGACTTAAGGCCATTTAACAATTATTTATTGAGTGCCTATTAGGAACCAATTACTGTTGATGTTTCAATTACTGTTAAAGGAATGAGCTCTCTGCATTCCTTTAACTTCCATTTGATAAACAAGACAAATATCAAGCAGATAATTAATATTGTATGAGTGTCAGAAAAGGGAATATTAACAAGAAAACTAATTTGAACAAGAAGTTCAAATAAAGCTGACACTTTAAGGAACAGCCAACATATGCTTATATCATGAATTGATGAAATGGTGACATCCTTTCTTTTTTGTTCTCTGTTCAAAATAGTGTCTCTGATCTAACTGTGGATCTGAGGGAATATGGTCTAGTATGTATACTAAACTTTGTCTTTGGTGCTCTATATTTCAGTTTCTTTTTTCTTATCTTCGCTTTAGATCCTTTCTCCTGTGACCACACAGCCCCTTTGAATTTCTGGTCCTTGTCCCCTTAAGGCTCCCGTTGAGGCTTTTCATCTAGCCTCAGCCTCTCTGAGTAGTTATATCCTGTGCAGGGCCAGGACTAAGGTAAAGCCAGGAAAACCGGAGGTACAAAATTGAAGGAAACATTCATTCTCAAAGCCCTTAAATTTTATGCCTCCGTGCCTGACTCACTTGAACGTCATTTCAGCCTAAATCCCATGATCTAAATCTGTCCTTATCCTCTTTGAGTCAGTACTTGCATTTCATCAAGAATATGACCTTAATTTAAAGAATGAGTGATTTCAGAATACTTGCTTCACAGACAGTGAAGATACTTTAGATAAGGAGGTATCTTATCACAGTGGGAAAGGCTTTTCTCAATAGTTAAGTGTGTGGGGAGAACAGGGTAGGATGACTGTGTTCAAAAACAAAATCACAGAAGTAATTGATGATCAAGATCCTGGAGACTGAATGATAGACGGGACCGGGCAGACTGTGTTACTACAATAGAACCACCATGAGTGAAAACCATGGTGTTTTTAAATACATATACACTGGATAACACTTTGAGTAAAAGGTTGATTTAGCTCTAATTTCAGTATTATCACAAGCGTTTTCTCTGTAGGATAGACACAGATGGATACTTTCCATTAACTAAAAAGTAATAAATATTCAGAATAGCTATTTTATTTATATTTAAATACTAAATGCAAGCATGTAGATGTTCTCAATGTGTGACTTTGGTATGACACATCTACATGTAACTTTCTCATATTCACTATCAGGGTGCAATTTCTTCAGGTTTCCATTGATTGCTAATGCCAACAAATATAGTTCAACATAATTTTCAGATCTTATCAGACTTGCTGTTATATTTAAAGAAGAAATAATTTTTACTTTAATTATATTCTTTTAACCAAAATTAAAAGAATATACATGTCTGGATTTTTAGGGGAGTCTGTGATCCCAGACCTTCAGACAAGGTAGTTTTAAGTTTGATTTTTGCCTTTTCAGATCTGGCATGCATCCAAAAAGCAAACAAGTTGATAACTGTGGGATTCGTTATTGATGAAATTTGAGGTACTTAGTTCGAGGGTATGAAAAGTATTTCCCGTTAACCAGTGCTGCATTTTGGAGTTAAAACAGAGCCCTAACAATTACATCCACATTTTTTCATAAATCATGTACTGTTGACTTCTCTAATTTTTAAAATAGAAACATGCTTGATGTTCTATAAAAGACAGCTGGTTGTTGTGGTTTAGGGATAAACTTAAATGGAATTAGGTTGGATCTAAATATCTAAAACTTGGAAGGTGCATTTATTCATTTCTGTACTGATTAAAGAATAATTGTTCATCACACATAGCGTTGGCCCAAGAAAAAGCCTATGGCAATTGGTAACGACTAATGTTATTTGGAAACTGCAAATAGCATTCAGTTATTGACTTTACCTTATTAGGCAGTTTGACAGTCTATTTAAAGAAACTACCATCTATAAAATTAAATATAATTAGTAATTTGTAATAGTATCATCCTTTACTCTGAGACCTTGGCAAACATTGCAATACATTAGCTAATTAAACTTTACAATTGCTTCAGAGAAGTAAAAGATATAGTAAGATCACTTCACTCTTTGAAAAGAAGCCAGTTTCTTAGGCAGAACTTGGTAGAATTTCCATAGCTTCGTGGCATTTCACACAAGGACAGGAAGGAAAGTAAAGTGCTCATTTATTTAATGGAAGCTAATAAGAGGATTTAGATAGAAAGGACTGACCACATTTAACTTCTCTGACAATTCGCCTTTTCCCTACCTGCAGCACTAAAGTTCCCTAGTGCAATTACCTGAGTGAAATTTGGCAGAGACACTGGAATTAACAGCTTTCTCTTAGAAAAAAAAAAAAAAATGTCAACAAATGTTTAATGGCCAGTGGAGCTCAAGTTCCTGGTTTTACCCTTTATCAGAAGAAAGGATAGCGCCTTCAAAAGATATAGAGGCTCATACAGTTCTACCTGGGTCGTTATCTGTAGGAACCCAGATTCCACACACACACCCTGAAAGACCTCCAATTTTGCTATGAAGATCTTTCAAAGAATTCATTGGCCCTCACTCTCCCAGAAATTGTATAAAGTCTATCTATTCTTTTGATAGATAGATAAATTTGACCTCTTTGGAGGATCTGTTGCTGTTTGGTGGAGGAAGGGTAGCCTAGTGGTTAAAGCAAGGATTCTGAAATTATACCAGCATTCCACATACAAGCTATTTCATCTTGATAAGTTAATTTAAAATCTCACAACCTTCCCGTTTCCCCATTGTTAAAAGAGAGTAATGAAGGACCCAATTCATTGGCTCAAAGTGAGATTTATTTTTTTTTTTCAAAGTTTATTTATTTTTGGGACAGAGAGAGACAGAGCATGAACGGGGGAGGGGCAGAGAGAGAGGGAGACACAGAATCGGAAACAGGCTCCAGGCTCTGAGCCATCAGCCCAGAGCCCGACGCGGGGCTCGAACTCACGGACCGCGAGATCGTGACCTGGTTGAAGTCGGACGCTTAACCGACTGTGCCACCCAGGCTCCCCTCAAAGTGAGATTTAAATCAGATACATATATTTCTGTGTGTGTGTGTGTGTGTGTGTGTGTGTACACACACATATACACATATTTATACACACACCTGTATATACACACACATATGTATATATGTATACACACATATGTAAAGAATATATATATATATATATATATATATATATATATATATGTATGTATATATACATATGGGGGTGTGTGTGTAAAGAATGTTTCACAATAAAGAGCTCTGACAAATCAATAAGAAAAAGATGACCCAAGTTTTTAAATGGACAAAAGATTTAAACAGTTTCCTCATAAAAAAGAAGTTCCCAAATGGGGAAAGAAAAGTGTTTTTGCATCATTATTCATCAAGAAGATGCTAATTGAAACTACAGTGAGATACCAACATACCCTCACAATAGCTAATATAAAAAAGGCTAGCAATACCAAGTATTGGCAAGGATGTGGAATAACTGGGAATCTCACTGCTAGTCAGAATTTGTAGAACCACATTGGTAAAAAGGTGGTTGGTGTCTACTGAAGATGAATGCCTGACTTCCCCCTGACCCAGCAGTCCCACTTCTGAGTATATACCCTAGGGGAATGGGGGCTTATGTCCACAAGATGTGAACAAAAATGTTTCTAGCAGCTTTATTTGTAACTGCCTAAAACTTCAAATAGCCTAATGTTGATTAACAAATAACCAAAGTGCCGTATACATATATAATGAAGTTCTAGCCACATGAAGGAAAAAGCAAACAACCATTCCAGGTTGTAAAATGGAAGAATCGGGCAGCATAATGAGCAGTGAGTAGACCCAAACACATATTTCAGTAAACTTTTTAAGGAAGAAGGCAGTCCGTGGCACATACCAAACGTTTCATGAATGTGGAGCTACTCGTCATAGTTTTCTTAAAAGGATATGCCTGCACTCTCATCGAAACACTTCTGTCCATATTTTGTCCAAATTCTTAGAGCCCTTTTAAGGGCTCCTACTTTTATTGAAACCTGGACACTTCCTGTGACCAGTCTTTTCCTTTCTTCCTCCTCCTGCTCTTTAGCAGCTGGCTCCTCATTCATTTAATAGCTGACTGGTTCCTGCCAAACTCCTCCTTTATGGATCCAGTCAACAATCAGTCACCCATAACTGAGCACAATGGCTTTGGAATTTTGCAAGTTTTTTTTTTTACCTTTCAGCTCTTGTATTTTTGTAAGAACAAAGCTGCTTCATGATAGTTAACAGCTGAAAATTGGTCTGTAATGAGTAGAAAGACAAGTTTTTATAGGATGCGATCCAAAAATTGTTATAAGCTTACTTAATAAATGAGGCTTAATTTGAATCAGTATTTTATCCAAACAAGAACATTTGACTTGCAGAGCATAGTAACCATAAGAAAATTCTGGCTAAAAAAAAATAACTAAAAATAGAAAAAAAAAATTGTGTGATATATTTTTTTTAAGTTGGCGTGTGTTTAAATACCTAAAGCCTCATTTAATACCTGTGCAAGTAAGCTCAAACACGATTTACTAGAGGTAGGGTGATATTCAACCAGAAACTAAAGAACTTTGTATTACACTGTCTATTCTCAACGGTCAATAGCAGAGACCCATGATATGAAATACGCTAACAGTGTTTTAAGAGCAAATATTATTTGAAACACGGACATGTTTGGGTTTTTTTTTTTTTGATGCTGTCCTGACATGCACAATGTTTTCCAAAGAAAATGTTATAACCATTAAAAATAATTAGAGGTTAGCTATGTAAAAATCACTATTTATTTGGAACATTTCAGAAAAAATACTACCTAAATGTTCATCCAGTTTGTTCATATTTGGTTATTTCAATCAGAAAGTGGTTGGCTGTCTTCATAATTATTTTTCTTTAATTTTATGATGAAGCATAATTGTCATAACTTCTTTATATTTAAAAATGTTATCATTTAAATTTATTGTAGCTTGCCATCAGACCATCCTAGAAATTTTTGCTTTATGCATATGATTTAAATCAAATTAAATATATATCATTTTCACCACCATAATTTACAAAGTAGCTATGATTGCCCATGCTTTCATATACAAGGAAATTGGGACTCAGAGATTGAGTGAAGTGCTCCAAGTCATAGAGTAAGTCTGACTCTTGTGACTTGTGAGGTTTTATGGCACCTCACTGTTGCCTCAGTCTATCTTAACCCCCTCCCGTAGATTTGCCACTGCTCAGTGCTCCTTCCTGATAAGACACCCTATCACCAACTTTAGACATGTCAGTCTTTGAGGTCCCTGTGGGACATGGAGAAGTCAGTTAGGTGCAGTCTGAAACCGCTGTAGGATGTGGCCTCACTGGACCTATAGATTTGTGTGGGGGTCATCACAGAGAGGGTGATTAACCTATGAAAGGGTTAGGTCGCCCAGATGGTGTGGAATGAGGAGGAGAGTGACCGAAGTTTGGAACTCTTAAATACCAAAATACGAGGAATGGAAGGAGGAAAAGGAGTCCATGCCTCCTAAACAGAGAAGGACTGCTGATAGAGCTTCCAGAACTGGGAAGCTGCAAGGTATCAGCTGCCAAATAATGGCGCTATGGAGGTGGTGTTTAAGAGGATCAAACACAGCACAGGAATCTAAGAAGATAAGGACCGAGTCTGTCTATTGCATTTGTTACTTGGGTGGTTCGCGGGGACACTGAGTCAGAGTAGTTTTATCAGAATTTTGGTGAACTGATTATGACAAATCCAGTGTCAGGAAGTGGCAACAAATGTGCTGTCCACTATTGTCACCATCGGCTACATGTGGCTGTTGAGCACTTGCGTGTGGCCAGTACAGGCTGAGGTCTGCTGTAAGTGTAAAATACCCACAGGAGTTCAGAGACCTTGTATGAAGAGGGGATTATGTAAAACATGTCATTGATAATTGTTTATATTGGTTACATGCTGAAATGATCCCATTGTGGTTATATTGGGTCAGTTAATATATGTGAACAAAATTAATTCTACATGTTTCTTTACATTTTTTACAGTGGCTTCTAGAAAATTTTAAATTATATATGTGGTTCTATTTGTGGCTCACATTCTATTGCTTTTGGACAGCACTGTTATGCACTATTCTTTTAAGGAGTACCAGTTTAAAAAGAGAAGATAACAAGCAGATACCTTCTAGGTAGAAAGGCAAGGTCATGGGAAGGATTTTAAACTTGTCTGTGGCCCACAGAAAAGCAAGACATTGGAAGGAAGATAAGAGAGGTTTAACTAATGGAGCATGATTCAGTTGGGAGTCAAATTTGCAGGTGGGGAGATGGGATTGATCCAGAAGAAGACATCTCCTCCTTTAAGCTCTGACATAAGGAGGTGAGAATAGATATAAATGTAGATAAATATGTGGGTAAGGGTAGAGACAGGGAAGGTGAGGACATACAGAATATAAAACACACTCATGTTTAATAGATCACATAGACTGAAACTACAGGGGATTTGCATGACCTGGAACATTTTTAACAGAATCACGATTTTGTCTATCTGGGTTATAAATTTTCTTTGTCATGAGGAGCTTTCTCTGACGTATATGGATTTGTTAAGATAATTAATAACAAGGACTCATACATGATCTAAAAATGAAGTGCTGTTGTTGATGCAAATCCTGTTATTCCTAGGAGAGTTTGATACTGTGCAGAGCCCCTCCACACCTATCAAAGACCTCGATGAGAGAACTTGCAGGAGTTCTGGGTCAAAGTCCCGAGGAAGAGGCCGGAAAAATAATCCCTCCCCACCTCCTGACAGTGACCTAGAGGTATGCCAACTTACCCTCAAAGAGTGGAATATGATGTTTTATTTTACTGAATGACATATTCTACACCTTATAGTTCCATAAGGTTTCAAATTTAAAAAAAAAGATATGAAATGAGTGGACCCCAAGTTTGAGAGTTCATCCATTGTAATGGCAAAATTAAAAACACTAACAACTTAAAAAAGATGATACTTTACAAATTCTAGGCCTGAGATAATTACATCTTTTGATTCTAACTGGCCTAAATGGAAATTTAAAACATAAAGCCATTGTTTGTAGGATGATGTTCTGAGAGACACTCTATTTCGTAGTATTAAGGTAACAAAAGATGTGTATATGGGTCGATAAAATTTAAAAAGGTAAAATTAATCTGTATGGAAAGGAAAAGTCGTCTTCTGAAAATAGGAAAAGAACAATCATTTGATACATGTTAACATTTTTATATCTGCAAAAGTCTCCATGTGTCATCTTTTTCTGGTTGAGAGCTCATTTGAGATATACCCATACTGAGCAGGTTGATCTTTATTATAAAACATCAGGAGAAATTATTCTTAACCATATTATGTTACTTCTTACCCAACTGCAACCTTCAGTTAAGAAAAAAACCTAAATTTCCAGATTTGGTAAAATAAAATAGTAGTCATTGTGCCTCTTCAATCATTTCCTTCAGCTGAGTGACAATAGCACATTCCAGGCCTTCAGGAACCCAGCAGGTGATATAAATGAGTGAACTGGGCCAGGGAGCCAGCAGACTGTGGAGCTTAGGGAACATTGGCCCAGTCTAAGGGGGCCTGCCCATCACTGCCATGTGAAATGTCAGTCAGCATTATCGTATCTTCCAGTTTCTCCGCTGCCGCTAGAGCCCTGAAGTTTGTGAATTTCAAACTTCAAAGTGAAATCTCGTGAATTTGAAATGCTGATCAATAATTTGAAATCTTTCTAAACCCTGTGCACGCTAAACAACCCATCGGGTGGCCTAATCTGACCCGAAGGTCTATACTTCGCAATTTCTGTTTAGGGATCACTCACTGACTTTTTGAAATACTTTTAAAAAATTTAGTTCTTTGCATGAATTGAAAAGTCTCATGAATCCACGAGGTGAAAGATTAACTTTTGGGGCGTTCACTGCAAGTAAGTATTTAGAAACATTCATTCAAATTAGGACATCTGACTTTTAAGCTTATGATTACTTGTGTCACTCTCACCCCTCTGGTTTTGTAGGGGGGGGTGCGTGGCAAATTTGGAAAAAAAATTAATGGAGTAGCACAGCTTTTTCTGAAATGGTATTGAGATTATATCCAACAACAACAAAGTCAGATGTGTTCAATTTGTAGAGATTTCTGTTTCCTTAGAATTTGATGATCGTTTGATATTTATTTTTTTCTTCAGCGTGTATTTGTCTGGGACTTGGACGAAACCATCATCGTTTTCCACTCACTGCTCACAGGGTCTTATGCTCAGAAGTATGGCAAGGTAAGGGATCAAGAAATTTTACCCCAAGACACTCAGTTAGAATTTTATCTTGTTCAAAAATCTAGCACAACTTAAATACATTTAAGTTTTTGTTTCAGGCTGTCAAATCTGTTCTTTTTTTTTTTTTTTTTCAACGTTTATTTCTTTTTGGGACAGAGAGAGACAGAGCATGAACGGGGGAGGGGCAGAGAGAGAGGGAGACACAGAATCGGAAACAGGCTCCAGGCTCTGAGCCATCAGCCCAGAGCCTGACGCGGGGCTCGAACTCCCGGACCGCGAGATCGTGACCTGGCTGAAGTCGGACGCTTAACTGACTGCGCCACCCAGGCGCCCCACAAATCTGCTCTTAATTGATTTCCAGTGGCTCATTGTTCTTTGATGAGAACTGGCGAATTTTACAAAAGTAATTTGAAATTGAATTTGTTTTCTTTCTTCAAGATGCCTTTGGGTTTTCTACATCAAGAGCAAGCTCATTACTCTGACATAATCATCTTAGAAAAATTATTTTGTAAATTAAAATGGGCTTTCAATATTATAAAATCATATCTTACTCTCTAATAAGGAAACTTTCAGAACTAAATGTTGCTATAGAATGCCAGTTGAAGTAAGGAAGTAATCTCTTGTCTGAGAGATCCTTTGGATTTAGGAACACCAGTATTTTTTGTAACTTTGAATAAGCATATGAACAGCAAATCACATCCCCCCCCCACACACACACACACACATTCAGAGACAGATTCCCCTTCCTTCTTTCCTGCCATGCTTTTCACGGTTGGTTGGCTAGCTTCTTAGGACTGCGTTGGTGTTCGCTGTGTAGGTGCCATGACAAAGATCAGTGTACCTCCAGGGTGCTTGTCAGATGGAAACACAATGGTTCAGGCCATTGCTAGGTGAATCTCTGACTCTATGGGATTCATATTCTGACCAGAGTCAATTACCATATTCAAAGTTATCTAACTTTGGTTCTTTTAACATATTCTACTTACAGAAATGCCTTCCCTGTGCCTTTATAGTGTTACATTATTTCTTAGGGTCTCACGTCAGCCCAACACACAATTTTTAGCAAGTTTGTTAGGCCTTGCTAGTAATGATGAAATTGCGCTCAAGTGTTTCCTACTTGAAATATACAACTACCGCACTCTTGATGAATCTACGTTGTATGTCACTTTTAGTGTAGGTAATATATGTGACCAAACAGCTACGTAAGGGAACAGTTTTGCTTACCAGCCATATGGAAAAAGAGGTCTTAGCCCCTTTATGACAGTCATCCTCATTAAAAACAGTGGTCTTCAGGGGCGCCTGGGTGGCGCAGTCGGTTAGGCGTCCGACCTCAGCCAGGTCACGATCTCGCGGTCCGTGAGTTCGAGCCCCGCGTCGGGCTCTGGGCTGATGGCTCAGAGCCTGGAGCCTGTTTCCGATTCTGTGTCTCCCTCTCTCTCTGCCCTTCCCCCGTTCATGCTCTGTCTCTCTCTGTCCCAAAAATAAATAAACGTTGAAAAAAAAATTAAAAAAAAAAAACAGTGGTCTCCAGAGCAGAATGTATGCATATATGCGAGATATACACAAGATGCTTCATTGAAATAAGGAAAGAAAATAGTGTGTATGCACACACACACACGCACACACACTTTTGTCTTGCAATTTGTGTTGTTATATGTTTCATAATGCACATACTTTGTAACTACATGCATATTATTATCAATTAAAGAATATGTATATAATATATGAGTAAATTAGCTGTATATAAATTGGGGGTGCACACTCAAAATTCTATTACTGGTAGAGTATACAGTCTAAATAAAGTTTCCAGATAATAATCTAAAGCATTTCTTCTGGAATAGTTTTGGCTTCTGAGGAATACATGGTAAATCCTGCTGAACTGATTGCAATATTTTTATATGGCCAAGTTTCATGTTACATCAATGTTTAAAATAATCTAACTTGAACATACGAATCCAAATAAAGTTCCCTTCAAAATAGTCACCATTAGAGGCTTTACCCAGATATCCATGTTGCTTCCATTGTGTCAGATCAGTGGTGGAACTCATCTTTTGGAATGACCTTGAGATTTTTAAAGTGTTTTCCCAGTTCAAATCTTCATCCTTTTTGTGGTGGTTTTGACCTTTAAAATACTAGTAAGATCATTTGAACCCCAGGTGATAAATAAGCAGCCTGGTCAAAATGTGACTATATATATATACATATATATATATATATATATATATAGTTTTTTTTTTCTTTTTCTCAAAAATACCATAAAGTGGCACCCATCCCAGAACTGAATATGGACTTCCCTTTGGGATAAGAAGGGGCACCGGTAATGAGGCAGAGACGGGTGGAGAGCCACAAAAAAAAAAATCTAATAACGAGCTGCCTTTCAGACTGGTTCTAAGAGCAGTTTTAACAGCAAAATGCCCATGCTTCCCTCAGCACTGGTGCATCGTTGAAATAACCGTGTCGCTTCCCTGGACGCCCACCCGGACATGCAGGGCTCACTTCACGCACAAGCTTCGTTATCCTAAAATACTGTCAAAAAGCTTTGTTGGAATACAGAATAGAGACATTTTCTTTTCCTTTCCTTTCTTTTTTTTTTTTTTTTTTAATTCTCAAGTTACTTAACATACAGTTTAGTCTTGACTTCAGGAGTAGAACCCAGTGATTCGTCATGTACATATAACACCCAGTGCTCATTCCAACAAGTGCCCTCTTTAATACCCGTCACCCGTGTTCCCCATCCCCATCAACTCTCAGTTTGTTCTCTGTATTTAGGGCTTCTTATGGTTTGCCTCCCTCTCTGTTTTAAATAGCAGAGCTCACAGAAGGTGCGGGGCAAAGTGAGGGGAGGAGGGCAACTAATGTTATTTAGTGCCCCCAGTGTGCCAGGCATTAAGTGTCACAACAGTTGCAAGAGAGAGGTGGTTCTCCCCGTCTCTAGGGGAGGAAGCATATTCAGGGAATAAAATATGTGCAAAGTCACACAGCCAGTCAGTGGCAGAGATGACCCAGGACTATTTGACTCCATAGCCCATCTCGTTTCTGCTACAGCACATCACACAGCATACACAATCCGTCTGCCATGGATGCAATATGTGACATATACTAAAAAGAGTGAGGACAATTAGTGAGGTACTGTGTAGGTAGTTATGTGAGTTCTCCTCAAGCTGAAATAATTTGAGTTATCTTCCCTCAGATGTTTGGGATACTTTTTCATCCACGAGTAAAACCTAAGCGGGGCGCCTTGGGGGGCTCAGTCGGTTAAGTGCCTGACTTCGGCTCAGGTCATGAAATTGTCGTTGGTGGGTTTGAGCCCCACATTGGGCTCCGTGCTGACGGTTCAGAGCCTGGGGCCTGCTTCACATTCTGTGTCTCCCTCTCTCTCTGCCCCTCCCCTGCTCTCGCTCGCTCTCTCTCCCTCTCTCTCAAAAATACATAAAACATTAAAAAAATTAATTTTTTAAAAATGAAGCAAAACTTAAGAAACATTCAGTGAAATGGATTGTGGCAGACAGATATCAGTACCTCATGGCAGCACAGAATGGGAAAAGAATCAGGGGCACTATTGAAAGTTTAGGGAAGATAACCTTCCACCTGTAAAATACCTACCGTGTGGTAGATGGAGCCTGTATTTGGCATTTCACAAACAGTAGGGATAGTGGTTAAGGACCAGAACCTTCGAGTTAAATAAACTTGACGTTGAAAACCCAGTGCTGATGCTTGTAGCTCTCTGATCTCAGGCAAATTACTTAATCCCTCAGCCTCAATTTCTGTAAAATGGGAAAAGTACTGCCTGTCGTGAATAAGAATTAAAGAGAAAACATGTTTAAAGGACTTAGCAGAACAGTTGGCATGAATTAACACTCAAAAAAATTGTGATTGATCGCTTTCACAATTGTTATCCCACTTAATTCTCTGGAAGACTCTGCTGGAACTTCTTGTGATCCAGGTTGGATGGATGCAGAAACCCAGGGCTATGAGGGGTCGGGAAACTTGACCGAGGGCACGAAATGATAAATGCTGTTGCATCTACTGGAAACCTGGTCCGTCTTATAGCTAAGTCCTTGCATTTTTACACTCTTCTCACAGGAGGGGAGCCTGTTGGAACTGATCGTGTCGAATAATGTTTTACTCAGGACAATTTAAGGAAATTAAAAGAAAAATTTGTTTAAGGCTCTATTTTTTCTCAGGAAAATGAGAGGACCCTTCCTGAATTTTATGCAAAACAACTTAGATGACCCTATTTATTGAATTATTATTTATATTTTTCTACAAGGCATTTGATCGTTGACATTTTTCTTAACATCAGAGGAAATTGGCATGGTCTCTTGGCCAGGAAGACAATAATATCTTGGCATATCGAGAAATAGCTAAATAAGGGATATTAGGTCAGACCCATCTTTTGAAGCTGGAGACCACACACAGCTCAGGGGTCATTCAGAGGGGACCAAGAGGGCTTTGGGGAGCTTCAACCTCACCACACACCACAAGTGGAAATGGGGACACGAGGGACTGTATTCATCTAACAAATATTTACTTACCGCAAGGAAGACCCCCATCCTGCTCTCAGGGAGCTTAACAAGCAAACAAAATTATTGCAGATAGTAATAACTGCTGTGAAGACAATGAACCTGGGTCATGTAGAGGGTGGCCTGGGGGAGGAGGGGCTGACCCTGGAGGTGATGATGCTGAGACCTGAATTTCAAGAAGGAGCTAGTTATGCAGATGTCGGGGGAAGGGGAGACCAGGGAGGAGCATTCCAAGCAGAGGGCACAGGAGGGCCCTGCCACAGGAAGAGTCTTCCACTGTTCCAGGAATATGAACAAGTGTGGCTGGAAGGTTGTAAACCGGGAAGGGACTGACCCAGGGTAAGAACAGAGTGGTGAGCAGGGGACCGTGTCATCTCCCGCAAGGCACTGGGGATTTATTCTAGGTGCAGCGTGTTGGAGGGTTTTGGGCTGAGTGGGCACATGATGGTTTAGAACTGGCTGCTGTGTGGAGAGCAG